GCTTTCTCCCACTTCTTCAGTGTCCCAGCCCCACATGCTGAGGTCCAGCTCCTCCTAAAGGCATCCCAGGAACCTGAGATTCTGCGGATGTTCACTCTTTCTTTAGTGTCTTCAATCTCTAGCCATCATTTGTCAGCTTCAGGGTGTGTCATTCCCATTGTAGGCTTTATGGCATGAGTGATGCACAGATGTACACAGATGTACAGGCCAGAATGGTCAGATGGCAGAGCCGCTCCATCTCTATCATGCCATTCTGTCCACAGCCTCCGTCACACTACAATCCATTCTACTCGCAAACCCAGTTTCAAATGCTAACATGTCTATTCCATGTTTTACAACCACCCTCCATGATTTTCCAGCTCCTGACTATGAAATAGATGCAGTGTGTGAGACTTAACATGCTCTGATTCTGCCCATCTTTATAACTTTCTCTCTCACTTTCTTGCCGCAAGGAACATTTTTGAACATGACCACTGGTCTGATCTTAACTCGAGCCTTGTCTCCGAGCTCTCTCCCTGCCATATTCTAGATTCATGGGGTGGCTGCATTCCTTTCATTTCATTAACTAGGACATGACCTGTGGCCCCCTGAGCTTGGCCCCAGCAGTCCCCTCCTGTGTCTATGCACAGGCTCCTCTGCTTCCTGTGTCACAGGCCCCCTCACATGAATTTTAACTGTTTATTAATGAAAACAGGAAGAAGAAAGAAAGGATCTGTGTAGATAACAGGCAGCCCAAACTCGGCCCATAACAAGCATTCAGCAGATGTTTCCAATCAATCAATAAAAGCCGATATAAAAACTCACTGTATATAAGTGCAAATGTCTATTTAGAAAACTGGTTCCAGCTCTCATTGTAAAGTGTGGAATCAATTATTCCTAACACATTTTTCAGTTGTTTTCTCAAAGCCCTGAGTTAAACATGACGCACACTGTTATATAAAGCCTGAGCTGAGTAAACTCTTCCTGAATTTTGAAGCCAAAATGGCGCTGCCCAGAACAGGAACAGGTAAACCACACCTCTCAGGATTCACCCTAAGGAGGCTCAGTTTCCCTTTGGCGATCTACATTTCACTTGGCTAACTGCCAAGAGGCCAATTTGTGTTCCATACACCAAGAGATCTTACTAAAAATAAGAATGATCCACACAGAGAAATCTTGAGAGTTGATGAATTCCTTGTTGTGGGCTTAAATGAGAAGGTCATCTTCAGAGGGCTGCATTTTCTAAATGCCATCATCTGACAAGTAGGTGGGCCAGATGGGTTCTAAAGTGACAGCTCTAAGCACCTACACTCCTATACAATATTTATGAGCCCTTATATTCTCCTTCCCACCCCCACCAGTAATGGTGGTCCATTACCTTCAAGAACCCATGCTTATTTTTTTTCATGACTTGTAACTTTGTGGGCTCTTCAGAAATTAATCCTAATATTATAATTATTTTAAGTGATTAAGTTATACTACGTGTGTGCTGTATTTCTTTAGAAAAAATGAACAGGCGGAATTGTTGGATTTGTAAGGTGTGCCGAGATGAATTGAAGAGACCCCCTTCAAAGTAAGTAGCATTTGAAGTTGAAGGCCATTATGAAGCATTTTGTCACATGATAAATAGGGGTACGTGCAGTCAACTGCTATCTTAATATATTTTGTTCAGAAAGTACAACTTGCATTTACACATGAGTAATTTCCCCAGACGAGCGATCAGCTATTACACTGAGGCTCCCTTTTCATTATTCATGATGCACACTTGAGAATTCAGAAGTTAAATGTTTTTAGAGAGTCTATCATGAATAAATATTCTTGGATTTTAAAAAAAGTTTTACATTGTTGATGTTAACATGATATTCTTTGATCCAAAATATTTTCATGGTTCAAACCCTCCATCTGCAAAGTGCCAGGAATCTTCACCCTAGGTAGGAAGAAGTGAGACGAGGGGTGAACCAAATGCTCACCGAGCTTCTAAGCCTCTTTCGCACTGGAGCCATTTGGGTGGGACAGTGACTCTCCCCAGGAAAGAGTGGTGCCTGAGAAGGGTAACAGCCTTGATGGGCTTTGCTCACCTCAGGACGTTCCTGGGTGAGGAGCCCTGGTAGGTTCACTGTCAGTGCCGATCCCAGGCCATGTGGAGAGCTCCGTTATGGCCACATCTCCCTCCTATAGCCAGAGACCCTGGCACGCATGCTCATGCACTGAAATGCCCCCAAATGCTTACAATGGTGTGTGGGCAGAGGAGACAGTAGGACCCAAAGCTCAGCATGTTAAGTGACCAGTTGTGGCTGCTGCACTGCATATGCCCGTGCAAGGAGGAAAACGAAACAGGCTAATTGGNTGAGTTGTTAAAACAACCCCCACAGAGTCAAACTTGAGGGGAAAAAAGAACATGCGTTTTGTTTTGTTTTTATGGAGGAAAACATATCAAAGTAGACTTCTAAAGCTCTGAGGTTGCAATTTTTAAAAATTCTTTGCCTTTACTAAAAATTAAATGTGTTTTAACTACTTTTATGCCCATATCATGTCCTAACAAAGGTCTTCAAATATAGCTTCCGTATGCTACTTTCAGGTCCTAAGGACAAATGTTGGCTTTGTATTTTATACTAGTTCCTTATGTGATAGAAACACAAGAACGCCATTGTTCAAATTTGCATGCTTCATAAAAATACTTCTTTGAGTAAATTAGACTTTCAAAGCTCAGCATCCCATTAGCTGCTACGCTAATTGCAGGTTACAAAAAGGTTATAGCAGGGACGCAGGACTGTCTCTAAGTACAATTGCGATGGGGGGAAAACATATACGATATAATACTTCTTCTCAAACACCACTCCACACAATGTTTATATTAGTAGAAATTGGTTAAAAGAGCATCATGGGTAGTTTTTATTTTGGAGGACTCTTGTTAGAAGGCAAGCTATTTAATAATGGTTCAAATACTTGTGGAGCATCCACTATGCCAGTCTCAGTGCTACCTCCACACTGTGCAGTTGAAGCACATATGAAAAAAGCGGGTGCTTCCTTTCATACAGGAGGGAGCAGGCACACAGGCTAATCCCGGGCTCTCTGCCCTCTTCAGTACCACCTGCCAGCTGGTGGAAGGACCTATTTCTTCCTAAATTGCCCCTGCCTCTGCCGCTGAGTCACTGCCTAGCCATCTGCTTCCCAGAGTCCCTGGAAACCACACAGACCTCTATGGGGGGATGGCGAGGTGGGGGGTGGGCAAGCTATCCATCACCAGTTGCCATTGCCCTCGGGACAGATCTGGTTCAAGACTGTCAACATATTTTAAGTAGTGATCTATAGAAGAGCCATTTTCATCACTATGATTTTCAAAAGAAACACAATAAAATAGGAAATATGCCACAGGTGTGTTGGTTCTGCCCTTCTGCAGCAGAAAGTTCATGTACCTTACAGAAAGTGACAAGCTCACCAAGGGAGAAGGCAGTGAATTGTTTAGGTGACAAGAAACCGGACAGGCCTCCACTTCACAACTACACAGCAGTGGGCCCAGTATGTGTAAAACGTCCCTCACGTCCAGAAGCAAATGATGGCGCTTTCCACGTGTGATAACAGGGGAATTCTGAAGTTTCCGTTTCCTTGATATCTCATTGCATTTGTTTTTATTGAGAAAGGACTATATCACATTATTTCATATAAAAGAAAATAGGGATTATGGTAAACAAAACATGTCTTAAAATGTCTTCTTATAACCACAGACCTTGAAGTGTTAGAAAAAATATAACCAATATCCTCCTTTAAATGCATAGTTGACTTTACAAAAAGTAAGGAATACCCCCCCCCAAGGACAAACAGAGGGCATCTTACATCTGAGAGGTAAACTAGCCTTTAACCTATAGCTGAGCTCAGAATTTGCTGATCTCAGTTACCCAGGGGACTGGCTGAGGGGTCCCTTACAAACCCGAAAACGAGGTCTCAGGCTGTACCAGGTAGAAAGACGAGCCAAGGACCCTCAAGGTGCTACAGCCTCAGGAAAAGGGGAAACAGGGAAAGCCAGGTTCCTGCAAAGACTGACAACCAGGAAACAAGGATTCAGCATAACACCAGGTGTGTGCTCTCTTGGGTTTATCATTTAAATTTACCCTACCCAGGAGCCCAACAAGCCAAGAAAACAGCAAAACCCTCCTGGGGTCTGAGTGCCCTAGCTGCCTGACAAAACCAGTGCCAGATCTTCTTCAAAGGGATGCACCCTCTGCTGCATCCTCAGAGGGTCCCACCCACGAACAACACGAGCTTATGAAAAAGCTAACAGACACAGCCCTCTCCCAGTGAAACCACCATGACTGTCTCCGTTTTCCCAGGAAAAGCGCACTGCTTTCCTACCTGTATTGGTGTGTTACACACACTGGGAGGGAAACATAAGATTCTAACTGATCTCCTGGAATCTATTAGTTGGTAAGGAGGACAGAATGAGACCCCTAAGTGCTCGGGAGAAAATGGAAACCGAGTAGGCATGCTGCTCCCTTTCATTTACAAACAAGATCAGAAACAGGAAAGCACCGATTTCCCAGGAAGGCAGGGAGAATGGCTTTAGGGCAGCCTCCACTCGGGAGAGGCTGGAAGTCGGAGACTGAACTTCAAAGACGGGCAAACCATGGCTGCAACAAAGGTGTCTCTAGAGGAAGTCATTTGAATAAATGCAGACAAAACTGGTAGCTAATTTTAATGGCTATTTAAGTTCTTTTTGTGCTGGCAACAGTGTCCGGTGTTCTAATTTTTGTTGTCACTATGTTTCCACCTCACCCAAGGCAGAAGCCAAACTTAGATTGTTTCCAGAGGGCAGGAGCAGGGGATTCTCCCGGCTGCAGAATGGAGGCCACACGCTCAGATAGGGCACGGAGTTTAAGACAGAGGTTGCTCTGCGGAGATGAAACACGGGCAGCTATGCAGGCAGAAGGGACCAAGGAGAAAGGACGGCCAAGGGCGTCAGGTCTGGAGTGGAAGGAGAAGGTGGGAGCTGACACAAGTGGCCCAGAAAAAGGGGGCGGGATGACCATGGGGAAAGGAGAAAACTGAGAAGGGCATCTCAGGATCCGGGAGAGAACCGGGCCCTCACAAAACACAGGCCATGCACGTTTTCTCAAAGGAGCGGGGTTACATGTCTTACTTGGGGATACAATGAAGGTTCCAGTGAAGAAACTGGTCATTTGGCAGTTTCTTGAGCAAAGTTCTATGTACAAATACAACACAAACGTTTCTTTACTTTTTGTTAAAAACTATATTTTGTAAATATGGACTTGAATAAAATATTTTTAAATCCTGTAATGAAGGAATGTAAAGCTGATATAATTCTCTTTTAAAGCTTCCATGAAAGACTCAGGAGGCGATATCTGACATATTCACATCAAATACTGCCTTTGACAGGTTGTTTCATCATATCTTCCTTTTCGTTTTTGCCCCCTTCGATTACTAAGCAGGGATGACTATTNGACCTCGTGTTCTTCCTTCCGCCCCAACGCGCTGTCTCACCCACTAGCATTCTTGGAATTAGAAAGTGGCCAGTAATGTCAATTAAATCAAATAGGAACGGTCATGCCATCCTCACTTATCATCCCAATATCCAGGTATATCCTTTCCAATGGCGGGAACACTGCACAAACATGCCTTCTCTGGTTCATCTGTCTAAGGAGCACTCTGTACCTAATCAAAAGGATGTCTCTAAAAAAAATTTGAAGGGGATACATGGCTTTACCAACGTCCATTTGCCAAGGGACCTACAAACCTCTCCATTGCTCATGTTTGCACATTTCCTTCAGCCTCTGGGGTGGCTTTCATATACTCTGCCTTCTGATACACAAAGCAGCATGGTCTAGCAGATGAGGTGTGGGCATTTCAGTGACAAGGACCCGGTTCCAAACGCCATGGCTCAGCTGGGCCACCTAAGGACACTGCTGTCCCTATCTGAGTTTCTGAGTCCATCTGTGTAAATATAATAACAACCTCCTACGGTTACTGTCAGGATTACAGGGGAAAATGTGCCCAAGGCACTCTTTACAATGCCTGGCAGAGTAAGTGTACTAAAAAGATATCAAAGTCAAGGTACCAACTCAATTCAGTAAATATTTATCAAGTGCCTTATCATTTCATGTGTTGGGCATTGAAAGATGACTATGAGGGCCATGCACAAAATTGTTCTGAGGACCCCAAAATAAACAAGACCAGCATAGCTGTGTTAGCAACAAGCTTAGAGTCTAGTGAAGAAAAGAGACATTTGAGCACCCAGAGGTGGTATCTTGGGACAAGCCCAGCAATTCAGGAATAAGTGCAGAGTACTTTAGGGCCCAAACGAGGGACAGCCATGGAATGAGAACACACATTTTCACTCTTCTGACAGCTTCACATCACAGTGAAACCTCAGCACCTATACAGCATGGTCGCTATTAACAATGAAATTGTTGGGATGGTCCAGTGCCAGGGACCCAGGGCAAGGTGCCAGGTATTATATAACCACATTGCAGAAGCGCCACGTCTTGTAGGGCATGTCCCATGCTGGAAGCCACAGGCACGACCGTGGAGAAACAGGACCAAATCTGCACACAAGTGTCC